CTAAACCCTAAACCCTAAATTGAAGTGAAATGGAGGCAGCGGGCACTCCCAAGGAAGCTCTGCTCCAGGGAGCCACATAAGGGGTTTCGGGGATATCAGGGTTCAGTAGGGTTAGGGTTTAGGGTTTAGGGTTGGGCACTGGGGTTTAGGATGCTAGTTGGGGCACTATGGGCTTGAGGGTTTAGAACACTGAAGTTGGCTACTAGGGATCAGGGTGCTAGGGTTTAGGGTGCGTAGGCTTCACACCTGAAGTAGATTGTTGTTAATCGCTCGGACTTCTGGCTGTTGCGATGCGGGGTCGGCGTCTGGCTTGAACCAAATGTAGCCCGAGATCGATCTCGAAGCCCCAAATCCCGAGAGGTAAAATAATGGCCCAAAACCCACAAAAAAGCTATTATTCTACATACTTTTGGGGTCCAGGGAACGGTTAAGCCCAGCGTGGCTGAAGCAGGAACCAACCCGGACAGATTTTCCGGACGTTTGCACAGCCAGGATCTACCTGGCAAATCCGGTCGGCTCTGGGCTGCATGCACCTTCAAAACGGCCTCAACAAACGCGTAAGGTGAAATGGGAGGAGGCAATTCTTGGGATTGAGTCCACCCATGCTTCAAAATAGCGTGTGCATAAATGGACGGAAGCTCAGCAGAGAAAAGGACGACTTTCTGCAACTGAAACCTCTTGTAGTAGACCTCTGGGACTCTAGCACAGGCTCAGGCTCCTGCCTTGGGTAGTGAGGGTCTTGCCCGAACGCCGGCTTGAGCACTAAGTCTCTGACTTCGCTCTACCAGCGGCTCAAAACGAGGTGGCTTCCGGGTTCGGGGCCGAGCTTTCAGGGAATTACGTAGGGTTCAGGGCTTAGGGTAGGCCTTCGAACCCAGAGAACCCAATATACCTTACTAAAGAATATACCTTAAATCATAACATTAAGGCCCCTATAAGTTTTAAGGGTATATTCCTGAATTAAGGTTCTCTGGAAAGGCCCCCAAAGGGTTATAGCAGCTACTTAGTAGCTATTTGGGCCCCCAAAGTACATACTATGCTAGTAAGTACTTGAACCCTTTGGGTTCGAAGGCCTAGATGCTGATATCCTCGGCCGCGCAAAGAGCCCGGTATGTGCTATCCACTGAACTCCGATGAGCTCCTGCGCAGCCAAAGTTTTCGATGTTTCGGGGTTTAGGGTTTAGGGTGCAGGGTGTAGGGTTTAGGGTTTAGGGGCTTCGGGCTTGCCTCCCCCCAAAGGGTAGGTAAAATAAGGGTTTAGGGGTTTAGGGATTAGGCAATTAGGGGTCTAGAGTTTAGGGTTTATGGTTTAGGGTTTACCTAAACCCCCAAAAGTAAGTAAAATAATGGCCCAAAACCCATACAAAGGCTATGATTCTACATACTTTTTGGGTCCAGGTAGGGTTTTTCGATGTGGGGTCCAAGACTTCTGGGGTCGTTCCTGTAAGCCAAGCACAGCTCAACTCCTGGTTGGTTTGTGCATGTTGTTGACGAGAAGCTGTGCCGTAGCTTTAGCTGCCAAAGGGACCGTTAACTCTGCTTTACCATAATCTGCCAAAGGGCCCTCTTAACTCTAAACCCTACACCCCAAACTCTAAAGCCCCAAAGCCTAAACCTAAACCCCTTAACCCTAAACCCCAGACTCTACAGCCCCAGACCCTGAATGCCCAATCAGGACCCGCAGGGACAGGCTACAAGGCTTGTTTCGAACTTTAGGGGTTCCGGCCAAGTGCAGGAAGCGTACCTTGTAAACAAATAGCTGCGGCAAACAGGGTTACTATAGGGTTGTATCAGGGCTTTCGAATTTAGGGTTTCAGGGTCCTCGTATCCAAACAGTATATACTTTGGCCTGAAAGTAGTCCCCCAAAAGATATTTTGGGGCCCCTTGATGGGGACTACTTACTTAAGGCCAAAGTATATACTGTTTGGATACATGGACCCTGAAACCCTAATCCCTAAAGCCCCCATCAAACCAGCAACCCTGAAAGTAACCCTGTAAGGATCCTTTTCTTCGGGACACGGCTACCCAAATCTATAAACCCATCCTCAATTCTCAATTGAAATTATGGTCAGGAGTCAGAGGGATGTTCACTCCTAACCACCTCAACCTGAAGTATAGGAACCTTTACTGTGCTCTATAAGGGTACTATATAAGAACCCGAGTAACAAACCCAGGGTCTTTATTGAGTTCTTTGCACGAATCCTGATAGTTTGGGGTTATAGGGCGAGGGTTTCTGAATCAGGTTCGTACAGCAGCCCCGCCTGCACAACGACCGGTCCCAGTGCCGGCTTGTGTTTTTGTCGAAACATGTTGAAACCAACACCACGGATCATCCAACGGGCAGCCAGATTTCCCGGGACGCGACTCCCCCTATGGTGGAGCGCATCCTTTGCATGTCCTATGTCCTATGGTTGACACAAGGAAGTGCGCTCTGCTCCCCGGAAAGCCATATCCAGCGGAGAAAGATAACAATACGTCGACCTATGCCGACCTGACTTTGGCGTCTGAATTTCGCCAGTACTTTGAGGAAAGCAGTCTGGCCGTGCTACTGAATCTGCTCGGCCGGTGCGGTCGTGGTGACTGGGAGGCGTCACCTGGTGGTCTGTTTGTCTGTTAGTCTCCTGGTCGTCGTGGTCTTGGGTGGTCATGGTCGTGATGGTCGTCATGGTGCTCTATCACTGTTGGGGATTACGCTGGCAAAATATTATTCGGTGTGGCCTAAATCATACCCACAGACCGTCCTTGACAACACCAAGCTTGGCCTGAACGACGACTCGTGCCAAAAAGGATTCGCAGCTGCACAAGGAGGAAGACCAGGAGAATTAGGAGCGGGATCAAACCAATCGCCCCTTTCTGGACGCTTACATCCAAAAGTCCAAAGACCAGTCCGACCATGCAGTAGCCGTAGCTGAAGGTCAAAATTCCACTGAGGGCCGCCAACATGAGCTGCAGGAGCTGGGTCTGGACAGAGTAAGCGCACGTCAGCATCCGAAGAAAAACCTGAGAACGGGAGCCAAAGGCTTATGTTCCTCACATCCTTCCCAAATCGTGTCGCCTCAACCGCTGACCTCGGTGCCCCTGCTGGGTTTGGGGCGGGGGTTTAGGTCTAGGTTGTGCTGTTACCCTAACCCCTAAACCCTAAACCCTAATTTGCGTGCCGAGAACAGGTTGGAAGATGGGCAAGACCAGCCAAATCGTGCCGAGCCAGCCCAGTGCAACGGGTAGCAGGTAGCTCTCGAAGGATGGAAAGCCTCGGTTCGAGGGAAGGGGTTGACAGAATGAGGGAAACATGATACTGAATCTCCGATCGAGATATATGCGTCTACATGTGTCCTATTTAGCATAGCTAGAAATGCTATAACCTATATATATACACACACACACACACATGACATACGTGCGTGTGTAATATATATGTATATATATATAAATACACACAAATACACATATTTGTATATATATATACACACATATATATATATATAGAGAGAGAGAGAGAGAGAGAGCGAGAGAGGCAGAGAGAGAGAGCGACAAAAACAAAAGAGGGAGAAAGAGCGAGAGCCCACGAGCCTTATTATGGTACTTTTGAACTTAATTCTCCAACTGAAGGCCAGAAACCGCTGGCGGACCTGCATGCTGCATCGCATTGGAGAGTGTCAGTCGTTGAATAAAAGATCATGGGTAGAGAAGCTACCAGACACATGCTATATGGCACATGCAGCTGGTCTCCCACACTTTCCATGACGGCAGTCCGAAGTGGGCCGCGAATGTAGCTGTTGAAAGCGTCCAGAGCTTCATCGTCACTTCGAGCATAAGCCACACTGTCCTGGGTTGTCCGCGACATGTAGGCGGCATCCATGCTGTCACTCGGCGACGGCCAGTACGCATGCTCCGATCCCGTGGAAGATGTCGGTAGAACCACAACATCTTTTTCGCAGAGGGCCGACCTGAAAAGGTTCTAAACCCTAAACCCTACACCTAAATTTTTCGCAGAGCGCCGACCTGAACAGCTGTTGGACTTGCTGCTCCACGAGGATCCTGTCGGCCTCTACTGTGCACTCTGCAGCTCGGCAGTCAAAGCACGCCATCTGCTCCAGCCTCAGGGTTTTAGGGTTAGGGGTTTAGGGTTTAGGGTTTAGGGCTTTGTTCGGATTTAGGGTTTATAGGGCCCTTTTTACCCAAAATGTTTGTTTACTAATATAACAACTGATAAATGACTGCTCCTAAGGATAACCCAGCAGCATCAAAGAGTGGCTCCGTAGTTTGGCTCTGCAGGCAATGGTCCATGGAATGGACGCAAGAACGCCCAGTGCTGTGCCAAAGAGCAGATTGAAGAGTGCCACGGTTAGAAGAGGACCGAATGCCGACCCCAATATGGCAGAAAACATTGGCGTGGAAGAGAAGAGATCCATAGGAACGGTATGGGAAAGAATATACCAACTCGTGGAGACTAGCACATCCAGCAAGAGTGATGACAGCAGCCAAGGTGCCAGCCACAGTGGCAAGAATTGAACCTGGCAGGAGACATCACAAACAACTTCCTTCTGTATAGTCTGGAAACGACTTCTTGGATCTGGACCGAGTGAAGTTTATGCTGGGGTTAAATGAAGACTAGGTGCGGGAAGCGAGGGGGGAGAAAGGCGCCCACACAGCCGGACCCGACAGCCCTGGGAGTTGCAGCCAGACCGTGTTTGAACACTGGCGCAATCACAGGGGCCAGTCGCAACTGTATTGGCAGTAGTCTTAGCAACATTGGTGGTGCTCGTCGTTGCTGTCGAAGCCGCAGAAGCAGCAGCCGCAACAACAGTTTACTATATTACGACGACGACGGCTACAACCGCTACTATACAACAGCAACAACAACAACAAATAATTGGACCCCCCCTCAACAAAACATCCCGAATCCGGAAACTCAATCATAACACCGCTCCCCCCCCCTCGACTCTCAATAGTGACACTCGATCCCGAACATCCCCGATATTTAGAGTCAGTTCCAGTTATCTGCTTGCTCCAGAAGTAGAGGCAGGGAATACGCAAAGACAAACTCTGTACCTGTCACTGCTGACAACTGAGGCGCCGATGAGAGTCAAGTTCCCCCCTCCGATAGTCGCAGAGAGTCAGCGAACCTACTAAGTTCTACTTATGTTACTACCACCACCACCACCACCACCGCTACCTCCACCGCTACCCCACCGTCAACACCACCGCCACCACGACCAGCACCACCACCATCACCAACGCCACCACAACCGCGACCGCCACGACGACTATGCTACTCCGACAACTACGACTACTACGACTCCGACTACGAAATCTGCAAATTTACCATTACGACTGCGGGCGCTGCAGCCATGACTACTACACACTATACTTCGACGACGACTGCTGCTGCTGCTGCCGCCGCTGCTGCTGCTATACCGCGGCCGCTGCAACTGCCACTAGCACTACCATGAATATCACCACGCCACTGGCACAACCACTAGGATCACTGCTACTGCTAGCACCACGCAGACCAAGGTGGTACAGACTCTCATTCCGGCATGTTGTGCAAGCGACCGTTGCTAAGATCCCAGAACAATGGCATCAGCCTGTTCAACACGAGTTTCGGCCCAGCTTCAATGTCTGATACTCTCGCGTGGCAACATTAAAGATGTATTGTCCTCTGTGCAAGGGAACCGAAAGGAGTCTTGATTATCAGATGCCTTCATGTTCAAACCAACCCCTTCACCCACATTGGTAAATCCCTCAACCCTTGAACCCCTAATCCCCTCACCTTCTGAGCACCGCCGTGCTTCGCAAAGGTAGCCAATTCTAGCTGGCACCAAAGCCTCACAAAATAGGCATCGTCCCATAACCTGGGCCAGCCGCGCTTAGGGTTTAGGGTTTAGGCCAGCCATAAAGTTTAGGGTTTTGGGTTTAGGCTTCGTTTGATTCACTGGTTTGGCTTGATGTTTTCAAAAATCATCGAACCCTATACTTACAGTAAGCTATATGCAGTGTATGGATCCCAAACCCTCAACATCTAACCCTAAGCCCTCAACCCTAAAGCTCTGAATCCACCTAAATCCTAGATTGCCCTAAACACCAACCCTAAACCCTAAACCCTAGACATCATGAAGACCCTTAGCCGAAGAGCACAAGCATCGAGGACGACCGTGCGACGAAAACTGGGAGAGCCTGGATCTGACGCCGCTTGAAATCGTGTAGGGTTTAGGGGTTAGGGGTTTTGGGGGTTTAGGGTTTAGGGTTTTTGGGGGCTTAGGGTTTAGGGTTTTAGGGTTCAGGGTTTAGGGTTTTAGGGTTTAGGGTTTTTGGGTTTGGGGCCTGGATCTGACGCCGCTTGAAATCGTGGTCTGTCTGGTGAATGCAGGCTCGGTCCACCCACGCCGAGAGGGGCCGAAATCGATGCACGACATGCTGGCCAAAGAAGAAGACCACAAAAAACACGGCCATCGGGAGGTAAACCAAGATGGCCATCAACCTGGGCCAAAGATTTGGGGTTACCTTTGGTACGGGGCACGAAGATGGAATTGAAAGTCTTTACTGTGCTAAAACGGAGGACCAGCAACCCTACACCACAGTCTACCCATAAGCTCCATAGTAGTTCCTTTCTTGGGATTACCTTGTAGGATCCTAAATTCAAGCCACAAAAAGGAACTGCTATGGAGCCTATGGGCTATGCATTCCCAAAAAGGTGAAGTGGCAAGAGGTTGCCACCAAGGTTGGCTGCTCCGCCTGCAAACAGAATCATTGTTGCAGTCGCCAGCAGCCATGTGGCCGTGGAGCATACCACTGCTGCTGTCAGATTCCTTCGTTTCCAAAAAAAAAGCCCTTGATGGTAACGGTATACCCTTTTTGCAAAAGGTAAAACGGCATTGCTGGGGACCCCAAGACATTTAAGCCCCAAGCCCGAACCCTAAACTCTAAACACTACCTACACCCTAAACCCTATAACCTTGATCCCAAACCCTGCCGCCCAAATAAACCCTAAACCCTAAACCCTAAACCCCAAATCGGAGTAAGATTCGCGTAGAGGCACAGTGCCAAGTACTTTGTCCAGCGGGCAGAGCCCCAGCGATGGCTCAGAAAGACCTGAAACTGGGGGTTTAGGGTTTTGGGTTTAGGGTTTTGGGTTTAGGGAGGGTTTAGGGTTTAGGGTTTAGGGTCGCAAAGAAGACATTGACAATTCGGTTTCGGATCAGGTTGAGGGTTTAGGTCGCAAGGTGAAAAACAAGGGTTTGGGGTGTACGGCTTCAGGATTTAGATAAAAAAAAACGTCCTCAACTAGCAGCTGGACTATAAGCTTGAAGGGTACATTATACCATGGGGACTAAAGCACGGTTTAGGGGCACAGTATACCAAATTCAGGGACTAGAAAAAGCAACAGTCACGCACTATTTTGTTTTCGACACTGCCGACGAGGGCAAGAAAGGATTGCTATGCGGCCTGACGTTCGATGTTGAACCGTTCCTGTCAGGATTAGCACACAATGTATCAGTACCTTATTAATGAATAGATTAGGACGGGGTATGATACTATAGCTATAAGGGACTATATGGAGATAGTCGCTTACTAACTGTTATGTGTTGGCAGCCATGAACATGATGCTCGACACTCGAAGCTCAAAGCAAAAACACAAAAGCGCACACACACACACATCTGTTTGGAGGTCGAATACGAAGTCCTGCATAATTAATCAACTAGGACAAGTAAAGTTTCGGGGTACACTGCACCATACTGCACCATTATTTTCTAAAGACTGCACCGAAATATGATTGCTAGTTATTCAGGCGCCGGACTAGGACTACTATAATTGGGGACCATAATACTTAACACGTAATTAGAAGTGGGCTCGGGAGGTATCAAGGACCCAAGACCCGAAAAGCCGTGGCACGTCAACGCCCTCTGCCTGCGCGGTCGATTCGAAGATGCTCGTTCCAGCCGCAAGCACCTGCGGGTATCCGCATTAACTTACTGTAGGGTTGAGGGCTTTAGGGTTTTCGGGTTGAGGGCTTGAGGGTGTTAGGGTTTTAAAGCTTAAGGAGTTTAGGGTCTCGGGTTCAGGTACCCAAGACCCTGAGCCCTAACGTGGCCTAAAGTCTTCAGGCTTCAGTCCCTATGACAGTCACCTCCAGGACTCCAGGCGGTTTAGGGTTTAGGGTTTAGGGTTTAGGGATGCGTTGCAGAACAAAGTGCGACGATTCAGGGCCTCGGCAAGCGGTAAGCCCAAAGGGGCTTGAACCACTTCAAGCCTGAATTTATGTAGACCCTCACATCCTGCTCAGGCACAGAAGAAGGATCACACGCAAGCCCCTCAACAAAACCCTGGGCTCATTGCTTTAGGAATTCCAAGGCTCCACTGCTGCTGAATTTAGGTTTTGGTTTGGCTCCTCGAAGCTCAAAGATCGCTCGCTGCAACGAGAAACTCGAGGGAAGGCTTCGAAAAGAAGTACCAAGGCGAAGACCTTAACCTTGCATTGTAACTAACACAGCAAGTACATAAGGAATGCAGAAAACGAAAATGCATGCTGCGATAATACAGCCCCGAAGCCCTAATTTTAGGGGCCTTTCATCCTCAGGGATGAGAATAAGGGTAGTTGGCCAGCCAAGTACTTGATAAGTACTGGCTTAACCTGAATTACTACCATCCAAGGCCCAAGGTGCAAAGACTCAAAATACATAAAATAAAAAAACACCTATTTCAAGCAAATAACCTACAGGAACGACCTGAACACCTCATAACCTACGCAAAACCTGCAAGCCCCTCAATAATCTGGTAAATACTCATCAAACCCTGCAAAACCCTGGACCCGAAACCCCTCATATATCGAGTCTTACAGTAATCATTTGCAGACCCTTAACAGAAGCATTTCGAAACACCCCATAAACCTATATGACCCTTCCAAGGCCTTATATAAGCCCTACTGTATAAACCCCAAGTCCTGAAATAGACCCTAAACCCTAAACCCTGTCTGAATCCTAAACCCTAAACCCTGAACCCTAAACCCTAAACCCTAAACCCCAGCAGCCCCTTTCATCAAAAGAGCACCTCCTGCTTGGTCGGAATCTTCTCCGGGCGGAAGCCCCCTGCTCCCAGGAGTCCTGCGGTTGATGATATAAATCCTGCATTACCTTAAGGGCCCTTTTATGGGGTTTAGGGTTTAGGGGTTGAGGGTTTAGGGTTTATAGGGTTTAGGGTTTAGGGTTGATGATATAAATCCTGCATTACCCATAATAAGGAATATATAGCATAATTTCCATAGTTCAGGATCCCTAAGGCAATGCAGGATTTACATCATCAACAGTGTTAGGGGATTATAGGGTGTGGATTTAGGATTTAAGGCTTCAGGTTTAGGGTTGAGGGTTTGGGCTTTATAGGGTTTTTTTTTTGAGGGCCCTTTTCGTCGCAGCTGCTTCGAAGCCCAGGTCAGGGCAGGCTTGGTTCAGGCTACTTACGGCGCTCAGAACATGCCCTGCAGCTCACCAGACACCCATGTAGACGACACCATCA